GAACCCTCTACAGATCTGCTTATGGAAAACAAGCCGAAGGATCATGGTAACCACTTTGTAATATGTGGTCTCTGGTACCCTAGAAGCCACAAAAGGCGGGGAGGGAAATAGTAATGGAGGAGGCAGGCTCAAGACTCCAAAACTCCAAGTGAAACTTTGCATTGAGAAGCATCATAAGCAGCATGTAAGGATTCTTGCTCTTGGGTGGACTACCAGCTAGCATGGGAGTGCTGGACCACAGCATGCCATTGGATTAAGCACTCAGCAGGAGACTACATTTTATTTAATTGAGTTTAACAAATGAAATCTTTCTAAATTTAGGGTCCATTTGAGAAAGAGGAGGAAAAAATAAGGGACTCTGGTAGCAAAAGAACAGAAACACTGGCAAGAAATACTCTTCCTATAAAGTCATCCAGTCTTTCAACTTATTCATTAGAAGTTGTGAATGAGAACAAGCAAGAGTTGTAGAATACTTTTCATTCCATAGAACATGGAACATAGAAGCAACTCAAGAAAAGGAAGCTTTGTAGGAAAGGAAAATACTTGCACAATACAGATATTTATTTTGTCTGTCTTGGGGCTTGAACTCAGGGCCCGGATGCTCTCTCTGAGCCTCTTTGTGCTCAAGGTTGGTGCTCTACCACTTGAGCCAGAGCACCATTTAGCAGGTTTTTCTGAGTAGTTTCTTAGAAATTAGAGTCTCACAGACTGCCTGGGCTGGCTTCAAACCACAAATCCTCAGATCTCAGCCTCCTGAGTAGCTAGGACAATGCAGATTTGAGTGATTCAGGATGATCTGGTAATGAAACAGAACCTCCAGCACTAAAACCATGTGAGCTGACTGGCACGATCCGTGGGAATTCTGTAGCAGGTATCTGGATATTGGAATATGTGATCCATGCATGCTGAAGAATTTTTGGACTTAATCCAACTGTATGCATTTAGCTAGAAGACTTTCTACCTGAAACCTAATTAAGATTTTATTTGCTATAATAAGTTGATGGGCGAACAATAAAGCTTATAACCATCCATGACGTGATGAAATATACTGGGGAAAAAATAGGGCTTCAGCAGGTACATAGATACAAGGCAAAGCCCAAAGAAGCATCTTTATGTTATTTAAAAAGATGCTGAGCTTACAGGATCCGTGGCCATCCTGCCCTGCTCAGTGCAGCATACAACGTACTATCCAGACTGTGTCACTGTGATTTCCATTAGCCCTCCCAGACTCTCACCTGAGGCTCTGTCTGCAGAAACCTGGCTGCAGGAAGGATCTGGTTCTCATCTTGGCTTTCATTTGTCTTATACACCTGTAAGGGAAAAAGTAATTTCTGATGGACTTAAGCACAGCTATTTTGTGAAGAAATTCTACATTTCGAGGTCAACCCAGCAAAACCTTTGACATTGCCGCTGCTCCATTCTGAGCTCTCAAATAGCTAAAACACAAGCTAAGGCAAATAAATAGCATTATTTATAACATCTTTGATTTATAACATTATAATAATGTCCCATTATAGTAGAAACGTAAACATCAAATAGTTATAAAATCAATACTCCAATCTGACCTCTCAAACCAAAACCACCAATTAATGTACATAATTAATTGCACATATTGTTATTGTGTGTATAGTTATGTACTGAGATGTATATTTAATATGTGCATTCATTTATAATCATATGTAATATATTTTGATGGCATTTGCCATTTCCTTCCATTTTTATCCACTTGTGTTTCTTATTCTCTGGCCAATTGTTTATACAAATGAACCGTTTCAGCAGTTTGGAGGTCTTTTAAAACCTCTAAGAATCATATTTGAAAGCATAGCGATTATTTTAACCTGATACCAGTCTAGCTCACAATAATACTATAACTCTTAAAATGGAAAAGTTCTATTCAATTAAAAATAGCTCTTAAGAGTATGATCCTATAGAGGCAAAGAAGATATGTTATAAAATTCCCCAGTACTGCCTACAAATTAATCACTGTGAAGGTACTGGTACATGGATTTCTGATGTTGGCAAAATTATCCCTTATCCCAGAAAGATAAACACTTCTTCTTCTTATTCTTTTTCTTATGCTTCACTGATGAAGAGTAGGACAGTGTAGAGAGTCCCCAAACTACAGTCACCCCAAGATCATATACCCTTTGCACTGGTGGTTTTAAAATGCCCCCTTTCCTAAGCTGTATCTGGTCTTTTCTTGAACACCTGTGTACAGAAAGGATGAGATAAATACTAGAGAGATTGCTGATCAAATAACACCTATCATTAAGTGTCACATGAAATCACCAAGCAAAATGTAAGAAAAGCATCACTGAGACGACTCTATTTATTAAATCTTAGTAATATAATTATGAGGAATAAAAATAACTTCTTAGACAGGGAAAGAGTTTTCCACGTGTTCTTGACAACTTAAAGAAAGGACCTCCTTCCTGGCCAGCAGTGATAAAGGGAAGAAGGAGGATTCCAAATTCATTGCCACTTGAAGCAATCACACAGTCAGCCAATAGAATGTGGTGAAAGGAGGTTCCATTGGTCTTTGCCCTACAGAACCAGCCAATGGCAGCAAAAAAAAATCCTTCTCTGAATGAACACTGCTTAGGCAGCCAGGAAGTGGTATCTCTCCTAGTTTACAAGTGTCTCCTACAGACTAGCATTCGTCCCTGATGACATTTTCAGCAGTCCACCTTTGTCCAGCCTAAGAAAAATAAAAGGGGAAGTAGAGAATGATCCATTCCATTGAATACATTCCATGTGAAAAGATTGCCTTTTAGTTGGAGATTATGTCATTTTGGTTGGAAAAAAATAGACTCCCTTTTATGAAATAATGCTCCTGTTTTAGAGCTGCCATAATGATCCTTGCTGCTATCTAGCTGCTGCTACTACTGTGCTTTCTATAAATCAGTCCCCAAAAAGCACATCCGAAAGTTGCTCGCTGTGGGAAATAGAAAGCTTGGAGCCACTGGCGGCCAGAGCAATTGATAGAACGGATTAGGCTAACTTAACTCAAAACCTAAGATTTATTAAAAACCCAAATTACAGAACGTGTTAGAGGTACCTTGACTGTGCTCGGCATAGGTATTACTGCCGTTAGACTCTGGAAGTGTGCCCAGACAAGGGCACTCTGAGCATCCTTCCCCCTTCCTCTCCAAGCTACAATGGTAAGGGTTTTTTTTTTTTTTTTTTGCCATTTTCAAGCTGTGGGGAAAGAATTTCTGCCCAAGAAGCCATGAGAAATCCAGTATGTTTCTGCAAGTCCTGCCTCCTCCGCTTCCTGGGATGCTGCAGAATCACAATGATTCCCAAGATCTCTAGTCCTCTGACCCTGCATGGATCCACCTGGCCAATTTTCTGCCACATTGATCCCTGCATCCTTCTCTCCACTACAGCCTTCTTGCCTCTCCGCCTGCCATGCCTCCCATTCACATCTATCTTTTTTCTCTGTAGTCGTCTCCTTGGTACTTGGAGCCCAAATCAACTGCTTGAGTGGTCTAGGAGCGTGTATTTTGCTTTGTCATGTGGGTGCATTCGGCTCTGTCCTTTATCCTAAGGCAGGAAAAGACGTTTCAGTTCGTTGTACTGGTGATGAGGCCTTGCTGTGGGATATTTTTTTTTGAGACCTAAAACTTAGAATACAGTGTCAGTTCTCAGGAAGATTAAAAGGAGTGTCTAACAATACCTTGGGAAGGATCCTTAATCCTGGGACCCAGTACTTAAAGCTGGTGACTCCAGCTCTGGCCTTGGAGTCAGTGGGTCTGGTTTAGCTCCCAGTGAGCTCACGGCTCTTGAGCAAGCCTTGACACAGGAAGCCATCAGTACATAAAGAGTGGGGGAGGAGGCTCTCCAAATCCTTCCTTCCCTCTCACATGCCGCCACGTGGCATGTGGATGAAATTCTAAACCTAGCCAGGCCGACAGGCTGGCAAGGCAAAGCCAGCGTGGCTTTGGATGTACGCTGAGGAAGTGTTTTCCCTTCCTCACTGTGCAGGGGCATTGCATCCTCTCCTGTCCTCCAGGAAATCCCTCGGGCGATCATATGGGCTTCTCTATCCCTTCATCCCTTCGGGCCTGACTGATTGTGTGTCGTTGTTCTTCAAAGAACCTGTCTTCAGTTGGAGCTGTCACTGAGCATGGCATCTGGCTAGAGCCAGCCCGCTGACTTTTATCACTAGCTGTTGAATTACCAGGAGACACCATCTCAAAGCCTCACCCGGTGTGTCCTCAGCCGCCAATGCAATCTCTACGTCTGTGTATCCACACCTGATTACCAGCCATGAAGATTGTGCTTTTCCGCACCTCATGCTGCGTAACCCTGGGAGACAGTGGGAGACTGGAACTGCTTGCATTTTTTTTTTTTGCCTAAAGGAAATGATACACATACATATATCTATATAAATATATAGATATATAATGGTCTGAGAGGTGGGGAGACATATTTGTGAAGAGTAAAGCCTTAACACTATTTGTCTAATTTAAAGAGCACACAGCCTGGCACATTTTAACTGTCTGTCTTGAGGAATGCTTACAAAGAAAATGCAAGCCACAAGACATGCCTCCCCTCCAGCCCCACATCATTCATGCAAAGGCCACCTGAGAATGTGGATTCTACTTGGTGGGAGATGATCCTTTTTTGGTGGGCTTTTCATATATTGGCTTCCTGTTCCTTCTTTTGTTCTCTTTCTCTTATTCCTGGAATGTGCTTAGAGAAAGAGTCATAACTAACATGTCTAAAGCAACAATTCTCCAAATGCCTCAGCCAAAGGGGTTCAGTGCACCTACCAAGAGGAAAGGGGTGTTGTTTCCCCCCTAAGGTGAGCTTTTGCCAGTTTGTGTTTCTCTAAAGCAAATGCTAACTTATCCTGTGTCCTGGGTTTCACAGAATATAACTGCATGGAATGCTATGACTATTTGCAATGCAACATGATCTAAAAACATTGCATTTCTTTTTTGATCCGAAGGGGACTAGCAGGTTTATTGTGTTTGCATGTGCTTTCCCTCTAGACTCTGGCTGCCCTAACAAGAAATTCAATAAATCTGCTTCCAAACCATCTTGCACAAGCTTTGCATGTCCAGTCTGGGCCTGAGGAAATTAACAAGAGAATAGAACATACCATCGACTTGCGGAGTGGCGATAAATTGAGAAGAGAGCATATCAAGCCATTCTCACTGATGTTTAAAGACTCCAGCCTGGAGCACAAGGTAGAGCTAACTCTCCACGGTGGCTCTTTTTCTGAAGTCAAATTATCATCAATGTTCGTGGGACTGGAAAGAGCACCTAAGAGCTATGGTTTTGGTGTCTTTGTTTGTTGTTGGTTTGATTTGATACTGTCTTTTCTGTTTGTTCTTGAAAACCAGGGCTAGCTTGAAGTCTGTAAGTAGGGATGCTAGTTAGTTAGAGACTTTGCTTTGTGCTTTAAGTCCCTAACTTAGTAAGCAACCAAAATTATATCTACTTTGAGATTAACAAGCCAATGGGCATTAATACCCATCTGTGTGAATTTACAAAAGCTATGAGAACACTCAATAACCTGATGTACGCATAAGTGTTGAGTCCATCCTTCTTAGATTTTATACAGCTATTACTCAACTTTCCCCAATGGTCTGTGGGTTCAAAGCCACCTGATCCAAGCCTAATAGAGAGATGAGAAGTTGTATATTCACTATCAGGTTCTAATTCCAACCCTACTGCTTGTAAACTGTGCAACTTTGATAACTGAAGTAACCTCTCTGAGCACAAAGTCCTTTTTGTCCAATGAGGACAAGGAACGTGTTTCCCTCACAGGTGAGGCTCCACGCTCGTGCCTGTTCTAGGTGACATGTACACATAGGAGACTCATCACCATATTGATGATTTTCTCTCATTGCCTTCTCCCCCCTCCACTCAGAACTCTAAAGGGGATGGGGCGGATGGGAAAAGAAGAGACCCTGTCCCTCATTAATGGGGCTTTTTCTTTTGCACTGATGAAAGCAGACAGACTTTCCTTGGCTGAGCACAGGAGGTGTTTGGCATCTGCAGGAGCCTCGGGCAACAACAGCAGGGAGTTTGAAAGCAAATTTCAGGGGTTTGATCCAATGCTCTGTAAGGCTCCAGTGAGCAATTCTTTCCTGAGTTTGCTCAGCTGCCTGGGAGATTCTGCTCGCCTGGGTTTGGAGAATTCACACTTCTGTGCACACGCACCATTCCCAGTGAGGTTTTTTTTTTGATAACTACCTACAGATTGCACGTTCCAAATTTAATACTTTCCCTTGCAATTCCCAATTTAAACTGCATTGTGTCTATGTAGCAACCAAACAGGAGGAAGGGAAATATTTAGCCTTATTCAGTGCCCAACAAAATAGCAGATGTGCTCTTCTTATTCATGATATAATTAAGGGTGTAAGGTCCAACTGAAATGCATTTTCTTTCCTGGATACCAAGTAGATGGAGCTAAGGTTATAGCAATAAGCAGGATGGCTTCGCAAGGAATCTTCACAATTAGCCTGTGTAGATTCAAAGCTAGATAACTTTTGTTCATTCTGGCCAAAATTGGACTTACTTCATTAATGACCTAACTTCTAGAGACTGTATGTCTCTAGCATGATTTATGTAGTTAATAGGCTCCACTTCTGGTGTATAGACTCTTAATGGTCAAGCAAGGCACAGTGTGTCTGAGGCTGACTTCAGTGGCCAGGAGAGCTTTCTCCGGAAGAATCTAGAGGGTGGCACTCTGGAAGGGCCTGGATTTTCCCATGCCAGTCTAGCCATGTGCCACCTAGAGTGTGTTCTGCGTTGCATATGTTCCTTGGTGCTGAGGGCAATGGGCACATCAGAAAACATTCTGTCCCCTCCCCCATGTCCCAGAGACATTCCTCATGGACTCCCCTGAGACCCCCTCTAGCAACCAGGTTACTGTTAAGCAGAGGATATATAAGAAGTTACCAACTGGGCATCAAGTGCAAAGCACTATTTCTTAGCTGTTAACACAAATTGACCCAAATAACAGAACAAAGTACCTATTAGTATGAGCTTTATCTTATGCACAATGAGAAGAAACACAGAGAAATAATTCTGAAGCCTGTCCAAAAAGCTGTCAGCCAGAGGCCTGGGGGTTGATTCCACTGTGACACAAAAGCCAGCTCCTGTCATTCACATTGTCGCCTCTGCCACAGCCTCCAGGGACTGGCTCTTCCCAGCTCCTGCATGAAAAAGGCCATTCTTTCCAGCTTCTCTCCCTTTTTGAACTTTGGCCAAGGGATGAAGCTGGAGGGAGAAGTCAAGTAGGAAAGAGTCTTCAATTAGCTAAGTAAAAGCAAGCCTCTCAAACCACAGTATTCTAAAATCAGAACACAGTGTCAGTATGCAGCTGCTCTCTGGTGTTATATATGTGCATTGGTTGCATCCTCCAAGAAACATTACTAGCTTGCTAACAAAGGGAAAACAGCCTCCACAAGATCCAGGAGTAGAGAGCTCACAATCCAGCTGCTGGCCTTCCTTGTCTTAAAGATGCCTTTGACTGAGAGATGTTCTCTCTTGTATGCAGCAGTCGGGAAGAAAATTCATCTAAAGAAGTGTAAAAGAAAACACACACACACACACACACATGCACACACACACACACACACACACACACACACATGCACACTGAGGTGGGCTTTCTTGAGGCTACAATCTCAAGGTAAGAATGAACAGGAAAGAAATACCCACTATCCACAGGCAGTAAGAAAATCTTGATGCATACACCCTGCCATTTATTACATTTAGGAAAAAAGCTCCTCAGCATTTAAACTCCCAAATACATTCTGCATAGGTTTATGGACCTAATGCACACACTGAATGTAATCTAGGGGGGGGGGGGGCGGGGGAGAAAGCGCCTTAGGCAGATAATTTAATTTAAATTGGGACTGGGTTGGTATTGCCACCTGGTGACCAGCACAAGCAATCACATACCTCACTGGAAAGAACTCAAGGTTCTAAGATTCCATTGGCATTCAGATACATTCTGACTTCAGAAATGCGAATGTGAACAGTTTTATCAAAAAGTTCCCATATTAATTGAAAAGGCACATCTTAGAATGTTCGATGTACATACAGTATTTATGGCTCCAAATTCTCCTTTTAGCCCTCTTTCCTACTTTGTTGCTTTGGATTAAGTGTGAACTATAAAACTTGTTTTAAAAAGAAAAAAATAGAAATGGAAGCAATGATTGCACCCTTCAAAGTTACATACAGCGGGAAAGGTTTCATTCTATTTCAACAAAAAGAAGAAATGTGAGTAAGAACTTGTTTGCCTCTGTACACGTGAATTAATACAACATTCCATTAATCTATCTGAGGATAGATCTTAACACTCAAGTGTTAAAATCAAACCATGTCAACAAAGATCAGCTTTCCCTCCTCTCAACATTCGTCTTTATGCTAAATTTTTCATTTTTTTCCCAGAAGAAGCTTCATTTTACCCTTTGACATGTTGAAACAATAAACCTTCTTTGTCCCAGACCAATAATTTTCAAACTTGAGAATGACTGAGGATCTTGTTCAAAGTGAAACTATCTGTCCCTAAGGTTCTGGTTTTGCAAAGAGGTCCTGCATTCCAAAAAAAAAAAACCCTCTTTTAGAGTTGGGTTATTCCATTTCCAGCCTCTGCCTTTGTTCTTGGCTGACTTTGGCAACTGAGTCACTGCCTTCCCCCACCTCTGTAGAGACTAGATCACATCACAAGATCCATAGCTCCATACTTTAACCAGTATGGATATTGACAGGACTGGAAAGGATGTCTCTAAAGCTCACAGTGGAGCAAAGGGAAAACAGATGTCCGTTCAAATCTTACTTTGGAAATAAAAGTGTGTATAAAGGCTACTGGTTAATTTACAGTACTAGATGTTGACAGATTGGTAGCTTTCTGTCACACAAAAGACAGCTCTACCACCTGCAATATCTTCATGCTGTTTCTGTCTTTGTAAAGAGACAGAAAAATAGAGTATAGATTACTTGCTGAGTATACATGACTTGAACACAATTCCTGCCATTTACTAGCTGGGAGATGGGGAGCAAAGGACTTGATCTCATTCAGATGTTGACAATCGCCTGCCCCCAAGAGGTTTGGTGTGAAATTTAGATGACACAAGATTCATATAATAGATGTTTGAGTAAGTGCAATAACCTTTCTTTTTGAAAGAAACTACTTCATGAAAGCTAGTGGTAAGGGACAATCTTAATGTGTTTTAGAGCACAGGGTACTAGGTCCCCAACCTTTATGTAGCATATTGAGTGGAGCTTGCTGACCACTGGGGAGGTCAGCCCCAGTATGTTCAGCTCATTCAGAGGCAGTGCCCAGCCCTGAGATATGCTGAAGTAGATAAGCATCATTTGCTTGTATAAGTGATTGGATTAGTCAATATTCCCCATTATCACCATCCTCCAAATCTGATAAGAAAAAAAAAGGGTTCAGCATTCAGTGTTTGATCTTTTTCCCAAACTATGTCTTCCTTCAGAGAGAGACAAGAGAAGCAAGGATTTTCATGTCATTTTATTTTTATAGCTGGGTTTCTTCATGCTCCTGCAAGAGGTAGCTTTCTAGCCACACCTCCTGAGGTTCCTAAGAAGTCCATCTGGCTCAGCTCAGAACATTTGCTACCTCCGTTTGTGCTGTCTTTCTGGGAACCCCAACAGATGCCGCCCTTGCTCCCTCAGACTAGCATTTCCCTTTGTGATCTTGACAGAGTTAGTAAACTTCCTTTCCTAAAACTGGGAATCCATTAACTGCACATGAGATGTAGTTAATCCTTGGTAAGTGTCTTGGAGGTTACCAGCAGCATGTTATCAATATTTTATGTTTGCTAACTCATTGAATCAATTTCTTTGTTACAATGCCATTTAAAGTAGGTACCTATATTATTTTTTTCATATGAGGACACTGTAGAGCATTAGGAAAGACTTTCCAAGTCCCACACTTGTAGCAGGCAGCAGATCTGGGGTGCAGCTTCATTCAAGTCTGCGCTCTCTAAGCCCATACAGAGTGCAATATTCCCTGGAAACCCTGATCATTTCCATAGAGCCTGTTTGCCATGCAGTTTGGAATGTGTTAAGGATGCAACGAGAGGAGACGTGGCAAAAACCTTAGAGGAAGAAAAAAAGCAAACTGAAAGACATGATCATTTCTCTTTTTCTCTCTGACCCCACACATACTCACACATAAATGCATGCAGCCATATGACACCTA